CAGTGCTTTACATTCATACTCCTTTATGCAAGCCTGTATTTTACTTCATTTTCTTTAACCCAGGGGGACAACAGCTGTATCACACATATGCAGTTTGAACTCACTACCTTTCAGTTCATGATCCAGAATCCGAGCCACTATTGCACACTGCCAGTGACTTTGAACTTGCTTTAGGTTTCTGGAGGTTGATGCAGTTTAGCAAGGTTCAGTGAAAGGCAGTTCCTACCTGTCCAAGACAATGGATGAGCTGTATGAGACATAAACCAGGAATGACCTGATTTGCTGTTTTTGTAATCGCAAATGTGAAAACCTTGGTTTAAATGACAAAACCAAATGATTCGTAGCCTTTTTAGTATAGGCTATACATTTATGTACTCGGACAGCCAGATGTGATTGTTGCCCAGCGTTAGACTGGTGTCCTGTCCAGGAGGAGAGCAGCCATGTGCTCGGTCCTGCCTCGGGCTGCCCTTGATCTGAATGGGTTTCATTGTATTAGCCAAGTTCCATTTGCTGAACAAATAGCCACCTAGCTTGTTGACTGTGATGTGAAATATGGCTTGTTTAATAAAAATGACAAGTTGCAAGCTACAGCTAATGCTATGATTAGCAGAGGTGTGTTAATGGCTGCTGTGTATATTGCTACAGTTTCCATGGAGACGAGTTGCTGACAAGAACTGATACCTTTGCTGTGGTGAGAGAGCTCTGTGCAGCACTAACCTTTTACAGAAATGAGATTGGGCCTATTCACGCTTCGAATGAGCTCGACCGAGCCTCGTTATGCGTCATCCACTCTGAGCGGTCTTTTGTATAAAAGTGCAGATCTTGTGTGAAGACCATGAAAAAAGTACTTGATGTGGCAGGGGTGCCTTCACTCCCCAGTAGCTAAGTGGTCTATGTTTTTTGCACCTCTGGTTTTAAATTTTTAATTGAAACGTTTTAATCAGCTACTAATTAAAAGGTGTGCCTAAATCGCGTAACTCTTGGTGCCTGCTGTTGGGAAAACAGCAGTGTGCTTTTCCTCCTCCCATAAATTTTGTGGCAGCTGCTAATGGCCAGTTTGCAGTCTGGTGTTATCTAGGCCACAATGCTGCTCGGTGGCATTGAGAGTGCAGTCCCTGGAGGAACCACCTGCAGCAGCTCTGTCTCTCTTGTTGGAAGGGGATGGCACCTGGAGCTGAGCAGTCCTTCAAATGACTTGATGCTACTGGGTTCATCCGGGCCTTTGTAGAGACTGCGCTTTTCCTAGACTTGATTTTTGTAGTTGAATGTTAAATGGACAATCTGATCAAATCAAGTAAGCTGTTGGGAGAATATGTCCCAAAAAGAAAAACGGGAGGTTTTACATGGACTGTAGTATTTCATGGAGATAAGCATGTAAAAAGTAGGTTCCTGCTCGAAGCCAATTCTGCAGTGCATTCAAGTTTTAATTCCCTTTGTGCTAGTCAGAGCATGCTAGAATAAAAATCATAATGACAGATGAGTTTGTTGCCTCTGGCAGAAGGCTGTCAGGTTTTTCTTTCTTCCGTTCCAGCCCTTAAGACCGTTGAAACCGTATCCCCTTCTCAGACATGGTGCTTTGATTCATCTTAACATCTACTCTGCAAAACTGAGCGTTCAAGAAGCCACAATGAAATAAGAGTGTTTTACAGCACTGCAACATTGCCTGACAGCATCACAAATATACAATACGCGGCTCGTGATAAACATTTTATCCTGGATTTGGGAAAGGCTGGACGATTATGAAGACCATAATTAAAATTTGAGCACGGAACAATTTGCCACTCTACGCATCTAGTTTGAAAGTTGCACTTCACAAGGCTGTGAACTGAAACACCGGTCTCCAGTTTTTCACACTGTTCCTTGTATTACTTCTCTACCGATGGAGTGACTCAAGCTGTGCCAGCTGTTTCCTCTGTTTCATCATCACAATGTTTAATGGAAGGTTGTGCTATCCTTTCATCTTGCTATGATTTTCCAGCGTATTTCAATTACAGCAATTGAAAGTAGTTGTAATAAAGATGTTCTAGCCCTGTGTCACTCTTAAGGAAAAGCATATTGGCAATCTACATCAAATCAAAATAATGAACAGCTTACGACCTAGCCAAAGGGCTTTTTAAAAATATGGTTACAACATGTCTAAATTGAAAGAAATCATATCCTCAACACCTACCAATTATGCTACAGCAGTCTTTTCCAGTGGGATGCCAGAATGTAATTTTCTGGGTATGATTTTAATACCAGCTTCTGTGGAGTAGTGTTTGTACCAAGCATAGGAGTTTGTAATAAGTATCAAGACTTGTATTTAGGTAGACATCTTTGACTACCTTTGTTAGTATGTGCAGATCTATTTGAACACAAGTTAAAGACATGGGTTTTTGATAGTAGATGATTGATGATCCAAGGATCTTATTCAGGTGTTTGAGAGATGCAGAGTTTTGGCTTCACCAACATGGCAGGGTAGCTTGTTCTATGCTCTCAATCCCCTTTGCCTTAAGACGTGTCTCCTGTTCTTGGTTTTAAAGGCACCTCCACATAAACGTCTACTGGGTTGACTGATGATACCTCAGAGGGTTTCAAACACTTGTATCAGATCCCCTTGCACTCTTCTGTTCAGCAGTAAAGGATATTCCCTTAATCTCCAAAGCAGCAATATATTTTCTATAAAATGATTAACAAAATTGTACACTATTCTAATGTTGAAATATAAAACACTTGATGTCGTTCTAAATGTTTGTACAAGTACAGTTATGCTGTAAACAAATGTCCTCAAATAGGTATCATAACATGTCTATTACTGCAAAGATTTTCTTAAGTTGCAAGGATGTTGTTTTTATAGTCGGCTTTTATTTTTTCTTAGGTGTCTTTTAGAGTCCTGCGTAGACGTAAGAGTGCAGGTTGATCTATGTGTATGTGTATAGAGCAGTTACTAATGCCCATTTTCCAGTAAGATTAACCCTTTGTGTGGCTGTGTGATCATTGCCTGGCTTTCTACACAGAATGCGTCCCTCAACTCTTTTGAATTCTAAACTCCCACCATTATGCTTCAGCACTGAAAGGGTAATGAGTTGGACACTCTGCGTACGTACATACAGTCTGATTTATCTAGCTAATCTCTGTTCGCCACCAGTCTGCTTTTCCTTCTGCTTCTGTGCTTCTGCTTTCTCCAGTGACGGAAGTGGTTGTGACCCAGTTTGTCCAGCCTGTAGTCACAGTGGGGGGGGGGGGCTTCCATCAGCTGGCCTGGCTGTACTTCCTGGGAGATTGACATTGACATTGACCTTTATTAACAAATCTTGGGGAAAGTTTTCTTTCGGACACATTTTTCTTTAGGAGCCTTTTACCTTCGAACTACATGAATATCCCTGCTGTACAGCCAGCTGGTTATATTTTACGCGTACTCTGTGTAGTAAACGGCAGTGCATTTGAAAATCGGCTCAGATCCTTGAGTGTATTCAAAGAAGCTCAATAGGGAGGGAGGTAGAAGAAAGTCAGCTTTTTGTGGCAGTGGTTCTCTCAACCCATCTTGACAATACGCTCACCTGGTTATGAGGCCTGCACGTGCTCTGGTTTAAAGTCTTACTGCAGGACAGCTGTTCACAGATGAGTTCCGGTTGTGCTGGGCTTTAGGGTGGTTGGTGCAGTTTACCTTCTCATGCAGAGACCGGCAGCAGGTCCAGGCTGTTGTAAGGCTGCCCAGTCCTGTGTCTGTCCAGTGGATTGGAGCTGCATGTTCCTGAATGTGGCAGGTCCCATGTGCTCTAATTGATGTTGGATCTCTTTGCACTGTCCTCGTACTTGCCTATCTGTTGACAGGCAGCAGGGCTGCCCTGAAGGGCAGTGCTTTGTAAATAGGATAGAGGCTCCACTGCCCCCACCCCTGTGATTTCTATGCTTTGTTGGTTTTGCTTTGGCAGCCTACATTATAGCAGATTACTTTCCTAATGTGTCCCAAAGTGCTGTCGGTATTTAATGTGCCAAAATGTTATTGTAGTAAATTGTTTAAAGTTGTGCTGTTTTTTTCTTTCCACAATTATTATACAATTTGAGTTGTAGGCTGACCTCTATTTCTCTTTTTATCCTGTGTGTTCAGTGGCATTATTAATGAACTTTCAGCTTATTTTTTGATGTTCTAAAACACATTTTAGTGGTGCTCTTACGGTGCACTGTTTTGTGACCTGATTTCAGCTGTCAGGCTATTCTAGGAATGGTCAAAAAGCAGTTCAGGTCCTTATTCTTAAGCTGTAGAGTGTCATTTGCTGAATCTTCAGTGTTTGCAGTTAATGATATTCTGGAAATCTTTATTTGCACATGCATGAATCCTCGCATAAAATTCCAAGTCCAATGTGAAGTATGTTAACTTTGAAGTTGTTTTGACCACTCTGGGTTTCTTAAGCTGACTTTATGATTTGGTTAAATGAGACTTTAAAATCAGATTTGCCTCAGGGCATTTTTATACTCAACTAAAACCTGACCAATTTGTTTTTCTGTGGGGTCAAGAAGCAGTAGGTTTGGTAAACGTTTCAGCCTCTGCCTGGATTGTGGAGAGTTGGGTCTGGATCAGAGAGCAGAAGTCTGTTTTCAGACCACGTCTCCAGAGCCATTGTTCAACTTCACCGTTTTGGCCTTGTGAGCAGCCCCCACCCCTCAGAGTTTGTCTCCTGTGTGGTATGGATCTGACATGACCATACATGCAGCGAGCGGTTATTTGTGAAATGCCGTTGTTTCAGGCGAGCTGATCTAGTGTGATATGTTGAAGTTGAAGAAATGACTGCTTGTATTGAATTGTGAGCCACAACCTTCCTCTAAAGATCGCAACAAAAATTGCCGTCCACTATACATAAATGACGAAATTAAGAAAAAGAGGACCTAAAGAAACATTCCCTTAATGAAATATGTACGAAATATGTGTCTTATATGGGGAGAATTACCACTTACTCTCATTTCAAGAACGCCACATGCATGGTTGTCTAAATACTGTCTCTCCTCTCGGCTTTTTACAGAACAGATCTTTCAGAACATCAAGCAGGAGTACAACCGCTACCAGAGGAGACGTCAGCTGGAAGTCGCTTTCAACCAGAGCGAGGGCTGCAGCTCCAGTGACGGGCCGTCCCACGCCACGGTCCTCCCCGCGCCCAGCTCGCCCCCAGGTTAGACATTCACTGGCTTAACACTTGGGACCCGTGTCATCCGGGCCACCCTGGTGGCGACTCGAAGGTTTGCCAAGAGTCAGATGTTTTTTCTGAAGTCCTCAAGGCCTGTTTGTGCAGATTTTAATCAGCTGCTACGCCTTTTCATCCCAGCACCTTGCACAGCTGTCAAAACTGAAGGTGCGCAGTTTCAGGAGAGATTTTATTAGCCAGTTCTTGATAAGCGTATTCATTTGTTTCCAGGTGTCAGGTGCCTTATTTCAGTCTGAAACAAGGCCAGTGAAGCTGTTATTAAGCTTTAGAATTTGGCTAAGCCCTGGGCTTGGACATGTGCTGGGTGTCGAATCCAGTTTAGAGTTTCCATGCACTCAGTATGCTACTGCAGTCTGACACTGGTGATTTTTAATATCTGAAATGTCTTTTTGCTTGGTCAAGTGATTGGTCTCGGTGAGTAAAAGTGGCACTTTTTAAATTACCCTTTGCACAGAAAAACATTTTCATGCTGAGTTTTATTTCAAAGGCAGCATGGATAGTGCATATTTTGAACTAGAGGCTATTTTTAACAGAATGTAATGGGTGCTAGGAAAAAGCACTGTGCTCCCCTGCTTGTATAGTTCTCGCAGTGCCATGAGAAAGTAATAGAATTACATTTGGAGATCCCAGTGATTGTTACTGGAAATGGCTGCATTAAACTGCGTTTTTCACCTGAGTGCAATGTTATACATTTTTTTGGCCAAAATATTAGGAACCCATTTATGATGCCAATTAGTACTGTATCCCAAAAACTATGTGAAGTGGAGTGACCAACAAATTTCAGTCTCCAGTATGCAAAGCTGTACACAAACACCTGGTAGTGTGTTCACTGTTTTTATCACTGTGAGCCTACCGGACAAGAACCTGCATGTTAGACAGGTGAGAGCAATCTCAGCATTTAGGGTCTTGGAGCACAGAGATTAGGGCTGGAACACCACTTGGTGGGCCTGCCTCTCTGGGTTCTGTATGGGAACACTGTGTAGGTCAGCAGGTTTTGTTTGGAAGAAAACCTGTTGAAAAGCCTTGTTGCCTTTCTTCTTTTGTTCCAGACAGTGGGTTTACAGCTGATTTTGCTTGCGCTTGTAGGAGCATTACAGAACATTTGAAAACAAGAGGAGACTGCATTATTCTCTATCCTCTCCGTTTACTGGTAGCTTATTGATCAGATGACTTCATCCAGCAGTGTCTTGAAGGAACCCATCAACAACATGGCTGAGTAGCTTATTCCAGACTCCCGCAAATATCTATATAACCAGTGTGTAAAAAATATTCTGTTCTCCTGTTTAAATGCACTTGCCCATAGCTTCCAGTCTGTTCACTGGTTTGTATTTCACTGTGGATTCTGAAGAAGCCTGGTAGATTGACTTTGTTTAAATTGTCAGTTGTTCAAGACTAAAAAGATTTGATCATACATTTTCAGACTAAAAGGAATGCTCTACTCCTGTTTTCTTCTCTGAATTGCACAATTGATATAAATGCTGCTAGTTTAGTTAAGTGCTAGTAATCAAGGCATGCTCTGTTAATATTCTACAATGCGTTAGTAAAACCTGATGTAGAATCCTGTGCAGTTTTGTTTACCACGTTATAGAAACTATATTGTTGCTCTGTAATCAATCCAGAGAAGAGCAACCAGATACATTTTGGTCTCAAAGGAATGATACATTAAAAACTAAACCTCTTAGTCTTGAACAGCAAGGGTTAAGCAGAGCCCTGATTCAAGTATTGCATAATCTCCATGACAACGCTCAACTCACTTCATTTAAAACTGAGGAGGAAGCTCTTTGCACAAAGGGTTGTAGGAGTATAGAACAAGGTGCCTTTGCATGGTTTTGAAGCCAATGAGAGGTCTTCTTTCAAGAGAATTGGAGGAAATTTAAAAAAGGACTAAACGTGGATATGTAAAGGAATATTCCTTTATGAATGTTATCTCAAAATGAATGATAATGGTCATGTGAAAGCATTTCCTGAGTTTATCATCCAGTGTAAATTGGTACTGCATTTACCGTGCTGGACTTTATCATCACTTGAGATTGCACTAGTTCTCAAAACCAGTGGCAGACTTCAAATTACTGGATAATGTATAGTAAGAGGTTCTCTTAATCCTTAGTTTTTGTGAATTATAATCGTATTAATTTGGTTGAATTTAGATAATTTGCCTGGTGTCAGGTATTCGCTTGGCTTATCTTTTTATATCTATTGTCCTTGAATGATGCAGAGTATCTGGAAAATGTCCCTTGGTAAATCCCAGCTGGCAAGTGGTCCAGAGCTGCTTGTTGCAGCTTTTGGCTAGGGATCTGATGGAACGATGTCCTGTCTGCACAGGTGCCTCCTCAGTAAAGAAGGACCAGCCCTCATTCACACTGCGACAGGTCAGCTTCCTCTGCGAACGCCTTCTCAAAGACCATGAGGAGAAGATTCGTGAAGAGTACGAACAGATCTTAAACTCCAAACTTGCAGGTAAGGCATGGGATCAAACTTAGAGCAGTTGCTGTATTTAGATGTTTTTTATCTAGCATAAAAGGTGAATACTTGCTATAAAGTTAACACAGCTGTTCTGTCTGGCACATTTGAACTGTACAATTTATATAATACTTCTCAGCAGGCAGTTAAGATAATTTCTCTGCAATTAGTGATGCCTGCTCTTGAAAATCAGATTTGTATGGTGGCAGGAATTTAGTGTTTTACTGCTTCTAGCTGTGTATTTTAAATGTATGATGTCCTTTTTTTGACACTTCAGGAAGTGGATTGCACAAAATTGATGCATGTACTTACACTGCAGTAATGCATAATGTTTCTTTATTTTTAGAACAATATGAATCTTTTGTGAAATTTACACAAGATCAGATAATGCGGCGATATGGGGCAAGGCCAGCAAGTTGTAAGTATATACAGTGTTAGAAATGATGTGCTTCATATTGTTTATATCTTTGAATGTCAGATGTGTTTTAGCTCCTTTAAGAAAAATTACTGCCAACTGTATTAGTTTTAGACCTTTTCTATTTTTTAAATTTTGCCTTGTTTCTGCTTTCTCACATCTGTCTTGACAGTCTGTATCTGCTGTGGCTGGGCTCTGAACACAAAACACTGTGGTTGATGGTACCTTAGGCATGATGTATAGAAAAGGGCAGTAATAAACCAGCCCTCCTACTCATCAGTGACGTGATGTGATTTTCTATATTATCTATATATGGTATCTTCTATTTCTCCTTTATCTGAGCATCCTGTTGGTATTATGTTGGTGTTTCCTGGGTGGTAGTGTTAGGTGTGGCTGATCAGTGTAGTGCAGGCAGTTGCTGTGTCTTCAGCTGGTTGTGAACCAGGATCCACAGGTGACTGAGCTGGGGTTGGGTGGGGTAGCATTGCCTTCAGACAGTGACCTCTGGCCCTTGCTGGGGAGGGTGGGTGACTAGTTGCCTCTCCCATTGGATCTTAGGGGCTCACAGTGTCAAATTACAGGGCAGTGTGTTAAGGGAATGTTTCTTTAGGTCCTCTTTTTCTGTGCTGTAAAGAGGTTGTAAGGGTATACCAGGCTTAAGTGTTGGTTTCAAAATAAAATGATATAAAACAGAAAATACAAACATTTCAGTTTTTAAAAAGCAGTGTGATCTGCTTTTATCTTTTCTTCCAGATCTGTGTGATCTGTTCTAGAAACCAGTGCAGATCTTTAATTTTCTGTTTCATGCTTTTCCTAACAGTTCATTTCAAGATTTAATATAAAACATTGGATATTCCTTAACTTGTTGGATTGTCATTTCATTTATTTTCTTTTGCAGATGTCTCTTGAAGAACTCTGTCAATCAGTAGGTACCAGCTTTCACCTCAAGATGGCTGCTGTACTTTTTTTTAAATTTCTTTTTACATTTTTCCAAACTGTTTGGTGCCATGGTTTATCCACGTTTTAATCCCTGGAAGAATTACTTCACAACTTTTTTTTTCTGCTGGCCCACATTAAGAAAAAGGAAATCGTTCTTGATTTACTCTTTGATTTTTTTTTTGTACAATTCCCCAACGCTGAAGCTCTGCTCCTGTGACCGTTCTGTATTACCCGTCAAACTTCTCCATGGTTTTTGCTGCAGCAGCTAAGAAAACCCTGCCTTTTTTTGTACGTGGTCCTTGAAACGTGGATTTTTTTTTCAAATAAACTTCTGCGATAGTCACTTTTTATGTAGATAATTCATTTTTGGATTCTGTATTTTAGTGCACTACAGTTGTTTGTACAGTTTTCTTTTCATTGTCCCAGGATGCAGAATACTATATATCAAGACAATTGAAGTTCTTCAACTGAATGATTGTTTTAATGCTGTAGAATACCTAACTGAACTCTATGGAATAAGCATACCAGGGTTTAGTGCTTGCTATAGGTAAAAACTGATCCATGACCATTAGGCCCACCTGTTTTTCTGAAGCCACTCCAGGAACAGTCAGCACGTTATGCCTATGGAGTGTTTTACGTGTTACCATTAACTGCAGAATATCAGTGGCAAAGTAAGACTGTTGATTGTCTTGAACTTGCATATAAACCCTTTAATACCATGCTATATACTGTACAAGAAAACCAAAAATGAGTAAAACCGGCATGATTTTAAAGCATTGTCCATTGTACAGGGGTACTGCAGGTTGAATGGGCTGTTATTAAAGGGACAATTTGAATGTACCCACTAGGAGTGTGTGATGAAACTGCATGACTTGGCAAGGTGGAAATGACTGGCTCTAGAAAAACACATTTGTACAGGTTTTTTTTTAAGCTTCTCGCAGGGAATCGTGTAATTATGACAACGAAACTTGACAGACCTAAATATAAAACAGCTGTGAACCCAGTCATCTGGATGTTTGTATAGTTTTTTTGTTACTTTGATTTTCTTTACATTTTACATATTAATTGAATGTCATTTCTACTTAGATATAGGTTAGAATGTATCAGCACAGATCAATTAAAAAAAAAAGCACAACCTGCTTTTTTTTGGAAGAGTACATGCCAGCAGCATGAGTTTTCCTTAAGCAGTGGGTCATAGCCTCACTGGTTTAGAGAAAGTGGTTGGACTTCATCATAATGTTGAATGTATGCAAGAAACTAACTTGTACACTTCAATTAAAACATTATGAGCTGTTTTATATCTGAGCCAGCATTGGAGGAACGTTTCAAGTTAAGATAAAAAAAGCCCTAGTTAAGGATAACTAAAAGAGACAGGTTATGAGATATTTGCCACAGAGCAAGGAACTGTTAGAGGACCACATTGTCATAGCAATGCCTTCTGTCTGAATGATGCAGTATTTTTCTTTTTTTTTTACTTAACTGACTTGTTTGAATTGTCTCTGTATGTATATATACTTTAAAGCATATGTAAGTGGAGGAAAGTTGTCATTTTGTAGGACTGCCATTGCATTTTTTGTAAAGCAGTTTCTTTGATTGACAAAAGTGATACATGCTTACCAATGAATTGTTTTAGAGGACACCTTACCAAAAAAAAAACAGCAACATTTTCTCTTTGTACAGATCTTTCTTTTATTGTGTAGTGTTAACAGGATTAGTTGAAAAGAAATAAATTGATTGAAAACAAAAGCTTGTCGTCTCTTTTCCTAAGGTTGGGTGTACACTTGGCAGGTACTGCTGAAACTGATGACTGTTGGGCAAAAGGCCTACAGTCTGACAGGGAGCAGAATTACTCAGACCGTCAAAATCCTGATATTGATCACTGGTGGTGTACAGCAGGCATCGAGAGACTTCATCCTAGGATTGAGCTGCAATTGTGAGCATCAAGTAGGAAAACATGCCACAAAGTCATTTTCTTGCTTGAAGAAATGGAATTTAAGCATTAAAATTACCAGCTAAGAATGCTTATTGGGAGCAATGTTTTCCAGTTTTGGATCTCAGATTGTAAAGGGTACAGTAAATGTGCTCCTGAAGTCAGATTCTGATTTTTTTTTAATCTTGCCCAGCAGTATTGCATTGTGGGGTCTTTTGTCAGTTGACGTCAGGTATGTGAAAAATTGCCAGAGACTAGTGCTTTGTAAGAAAGGGTCTGCAGTGCAAGGGCAGTACCTAAAGGTGTGTTACTTGGGAAGGTGGGCAGGGGTGTTTGGGTAGCTTGGATGTAAATGAGATGAGCATTTGGTCTATCCCAGCAAACTGGGCATGAGATGGGAATGGAACACCAGTCCATCGCTGGGCAGACCAACACAGATGCAGAGACGCACATATGCATTGACACCAGGACCAATTTTCCCAGAAGCCAATTAACTTATGTTTTAGGATTGTGGGAGGAAACCCATGCAAACATGGGGAGAACATACAAGCTCCATGCAGACAGCAGCCCAGGAACTGAACCTAGGGCTCCAGCATTGTGAAGCAGCAATACTAAACACTGTACTATGGTGCTGGGATAGGCTCTGTCTCCCCGTGACTCTAAATTGGGAGAAAATGGATGGTGTTTTCTCGTCTTTGCAAGCTTAATTGGGAGTACAGTAGATGTTTATACAGTTACTCCCCCTGGTGGTTAAAACGACGAGAAAATTGTGCGCAAAATTGCACATTTTATTTTGACTGGAGCGTCCCTCGGCTTGAGACGAGAATAATACGTCTCAGTACTTTATTCTCTTTAAATTGTGGTACATCCTCTGGTTTTAGTTTCTTATCTGCCTTCGCCAGAGAATTGTATGTTAGAGATTTTTGTGGACGCAGTCTGGAACGCCCGGAACATCACTAAGGTTAATATGACAGCTATTGTATGTGGAAGACGCCTTCCGCACAACACGGCTTACAGCAAAACAAAATAAAAAAATACGATTAACTGAAGAATACGGCTCCTAGGTCTTGGGTTCAATTCCAGTCTGGGTGCCGTCTGTGAGGAGTCTATGTTCTCTGTGGTGACGCGGTTTTTCACCAACTTGTGCTTTCGTCAACATAACACAATCCGAATACGTTTTCTGTTGACTTATTCTCGTCTCCACCTTGTATCCTCTCGCATGCGTGTATGTACCCTGCGATGGACTGGTGTCCTGTCCCCAGTGTATCCTGCCCTGCGCCCACTCCGGTATCGGACTAAGCGAGTATTGGAAATGGACGGTTACACGGGTAGTTAGCTTCCGCTTCACAAGTACTTTGGAACTAAAACATCCCACCAGTGACGTAAACACTCCAGGTGCGTCTCTTCCTTGATGTGCAGGCGGGCCAGGTGAGGGCGTCCCTTCGGTCAAAACCGCTAAAAGAGCAGCGTGTCGACCTCTGTTGAGGTCGGACTGCCGCCCTAGACGAATCTGTTGAAACGCGAAGGCTTTTCCATTTAGTTTTCGGATTGAACGCAGTTCGCCTTGCCTCAGGAATAACAAGAATGTTTTCAGTATGATTTTTGACTTTTCGATGAAGATGCATTAACCCGCCTGGTAGTTTCTAAAGTGCCCTTACATTTTCTTATGTAGTTTTAATTGATGATCGTTTTTAAGTTGGGTACGTCCTGCCTGTATTAAATACTGGCATTTCTTGTGTAAGATACTGGGACAAGACCAGAGTTACCGGAACTCCTGTGCGTTTAATGCAACTTGCGAGCTCATGAAAGCTGTTTGTTTCTCAGCAGGGAGGAAGCACAGTACAGGAAAAAGCAGGCTAACCCTGTCATTAACGTAAACAGCAGAGGGGAAGAAAAGGCGCTCCAAGTCTTTTGTTCCATTACTGGAATCCGGTCTCCAGCAACAAGGATGAGTAGAAAAATGGACGTGGATGAAGTTTAAAATTGGAATAATCCAGCCCACTCATCTATCAGATCGACGCGCTTTAACTTGTTCGAAGAGACGTCAGACTTGCGTTTGAACAATTTAGGGTTTCAGTGTTGTTTGTTTTTAGTAGTTTTTTCCCCCTCTAACGGTAAGTGTCCGGGTCTCTTCTTTTCAGTTTATCGCATCTGAATTTACACTCAGTGGCTACAACGCAAAAATGTTCAAGCATGCCGGCCGGGTTGTTTAGCTTCTTGATGTGTTTGGGATCTGATCCGCAAGATCAGTTTGAGACCGGTAGTGTAGTGGCACTTAAAAACGTCCCCATTTTTGTGCGGTGTTTTCCTGTAACTTTTGTTGTTGTGATTTTAAGGCGTCTTCCTGTTTTAAACGTGGGAATGTTTTATTTTTAATCCTTTCAACAGTGTATACTATTTTACCCACGAGTACTTCTCAGGGATCGAGATCATTTTTAGTACTTTAACGTTTTACTAACATTGTCGAAGAAGACGAAAAGATGTGTGTGTGTGTGTATATATAACAAAGATAAGATAGATTTATATAACAGAGTCTCAAGTGAAAGCAAAACTTCCCATCCCTGGGCAAAAACAATTATCTTATGTTGATAAAATATAACATTTTCGTTGAAGCCATAAACTATGTATTTCAAAGTTCATATCTCCAATGATAAGAACCTAGAATTTAATATATATCTTATCTTCGTGTATAAAAATTAATTTTAAACGAGAACGTGTAATACAGGGAAAACAGCAAGTGAATCTATATTTCTGTCCGATAACCACGTTTTTTTTATTTCTCAGAAGACATTTCGAATGATAATATACGTTTCTGTTTTTACCATCAGAGTTTTCTAAAGGTAAAATAGAAGGCTGAGCGATGTTAATCCATTTCTGTTAGAAAAGTGATATGTTCGAGCATATGCTCAAAGTAAAAAAAAATGGTTTAATGGCTTAAAATGGTTTAAGAACAATGCGCGGCCTTCAAAAAAACCATTATGGTTACATTATGGGGTGTTCTTAAACATCAAATGAATGTTGACCTTGTCAAATATACTCCTTCGCACATTTTTGAACAGTCAACCTAAAGCACTGGTCTCCTTCTCTTCGTCCTAGAGAGCCACAGGCCTTCAGGACTGGTTGATATCTCTGAGCAATAGCTATGCATCCGCTGAGCTTTGACCGATGAAAACCAGTCCCTGCCTTTTTTAAGTAGCTGAGCAGTGAGCCTGCTCCTCCCGTTCTGTGGCTTCGAGCCAACTGGTGAAACCGGTCGGAGTTGTACACAAATCACCGCGCTGTACCAACAAACTACCTTGTTTGTTGAATTTCGATACGCAGTCGCCCGCGGAACCATGGCCGCCGAAGAAGATAACCCGTTTAACGGGGAGGGCGAGGCGGAGGAGACGGTGGAGGAGACCTCCGAGGGGTGTGGCTGGTGCGAGAGGTTTCAGCGCTCTGTGGCCAAATGGATGCTTCCGGAGCACGCCAGGGACATCTACCTGGAAAGAGCCAACTGCTGTCCCCCTCCCATCTTCATCATACTGATCAGTATCGGCGAGGTGGGTCCTGTTGACTACGTTCCAGCTCCTTGCCTGTTGGGCTTTAAGGGACTTGTGGAAACCCATTAAAAATACTTCTTGGTTGCGATGTTTACAGACCTTCTAAGAATTATCGTTGGTCATATCTGAAATCTTTTCTGTCAAACTTCACAGGCCTTAAGTGGTCTTTATATCCGTGTACCCAGAGCAAATGGAAAAGTACCTTAACTATACTACATTATTTTTAGGTACCTTGTTTGTCCTGGATTCTAAATATTCATTAACAGCACAGTGTTCAATATCTCCAGTATTGAAGAGCTGATCCTTCAGGTTTTCCAGATGGAGCTCGGATTTGGTTCTGGCCTCTGGTGTTATGAATTCTCTTTTATGAATGAGTTTCTATACATCCTGGCATTTTGTTTCCCTTTTTAATAATTTCTCTACATTATTGTGTGGAAAACTGCATTGCGTCTACATAGATCTCCTAATCCTTGTTGTCATGACCAATTCAAAGGCTTTTACTTTCTGAACAGCATCCAAGTCTTGAATTCCTTGCTTTTGAAACTCTGGAACACATTCTTGGAGTTCTTTAGCTCCATGATTGACAATATCCTCCATCACATTCTCTCTACAATGCACGGTACTCCATAGTAATCCACTTCCTCTCTGCAGGTCTAGTTTTGCTGGTTCCCCTCTCTTTAACTTCTCTCTACTTGACACTGCAGGTGTAAATTAATTAGTGGTGTGTATGAAATCCACCTCCTGCCTATTAGATCCCATTTCCACTGTTGCATTTCAGTCCTTTTTTTCTCCTCTCTGCCCTGTTTTCCTCAACATAATAACCTCTTTGAACCCCCTCCACTCTGGTTTCAGACAAATATACAGCACGGAAACTGACCTGGTTAAAGTCACTAACAATCTTCTTATGGCTTCTGATTCTGGTTCTATTTCTCTTCTTATTCTTCTTGACCTCAGTGTTGCTTTTGACACTGACAGCCACTATCTTACTTTCTTGTCTTCCGACTGTTTGGAGTTTCTGATGCAGCTCTTAAACGGTTCAGATCTTACCTCACTGATTGCAGTTACTTTATCTGTCTTGGCAGTTTTAGCTCTGAAAGTGGGCTCGTTAAGTCTGGTGTTCCTCAGGGCTCCATACAGGGCCCCCTGTTATTCAGCATTTACATGCTTCCACTTGGTCAGATTTTAAGAAAACAAGGTCTAAATGATCATTTCTATGCTGGTGATACTCAAATCTACGCCCATACTAAACCTGACAGTGTAGTGGCTGTGTCTGCTCTCTCTAATTGTATCTTAAACATAAAAACATGGATGACTCACAATTTCCTTCATTTAATTTGTGACTGAAGCCCTGCTTCTCAGCACCCCCCCCCCCAGCTATGTAAAGCCAATCCAGTAACTTTATCTGTGGGTGGTACTTTACTTGAGTTTCAATCTAAATTGAAGAACTTGGGGGGTAGTATTTGACCCAGGCTTGATGTTTAGCTCACATGTGCAACATATCGTAAAAACATCATTCTTCCACAGAAATATTGCCAGACTATATCCTATGTTGTTAACTGTTGCTGAAAAGCTGGTCAACACTTTTTCTCTCAGATTGATTTCTGTAATGCCCAAATTGCTGGGGTATCTAAATCAATACTGAGCAAAGTTCAGTATGTCTAGAATTCGTCAGCCAGAATCCTGACCAGGTCTAGCGCAAGTGATCACTCCTGAGTCTTTGCAATGGCTTTCTGTCAGGTTTTGTGTCAATTTAAAAATCCTCATGCTCACCTCAGTCCCTGTCTGAGCTACTATCGTTCTACTCCCCACCTCGCAACCTTCTCTCTTCTAATTCTCCTATCTGTCACCAGGCCCGTCTGTGTGTGACAGGGCCTTCTCCTGTTATACCCCAAAGCTCTGGAACTCTGCCCCTAAGGATATCAGCTAGTCACCTTTTCTAAACTCCTTGAAACTACACTCAAAACCTTCTTCTTTAGAATGGCTTTTATTTAACTGATTCTCTGTCTGCCCTTTTGCTTTCATGCTGTATTCGAAACCTTCACGGTAACTGTTAAATTCTGCTACCTCGTCCCACTCTGTATCTTTTTTTTTTTCTGTAAAGTTCTTTGAGAAGCCACTTTTAAAGGTGCTAAATTAAAAAATAATGTTAAGGATTATTATAAACTGCTCTCCCCCCTCTGCGTTTCACATGACCCTTTACTCCTTGGCTGCGTTGGTTTGCTCTTCCATGCCTGCTCCTTCTGTGCAAACCTCAGGCCCGTGGTTCAGTCAGACCTGAGATGCTCTCTCTGCCTGTCTTCACAGTTGGCCGTCTTCATCTACTATGCTGTGTGGAAGCCCCAGAAGCAGTGGATCACTCTGGACAAGGGCATCCTGAACAGCCCCCTGACGTACCGCCCTGATAAGAGAGAAGAGGCCTGGCGCTTCATCTCATACATGTTTGTGCATGCTGGGTAGGGTCAGCAGTGCCCGTTGTGTCTTTGCCTTCTCCTGTGTCAGAGCAGCAGGGCCGGATTTTGCCCTAGGCCCTAGGCACATTGGGTAAATGCCAACTGAATAACGTCGATTTGACACGATACACTATTCTCGTGCTAAACCATGTGATTGATGGAGTGAGTCGAGAGACCATCGCTTCAATACTTCTAGTTTCTAGAACAGCTGCTAGATAGTGTATGATTATTGGTTTGGAGCACCTAGAGCCGATCACAAGCATGTTATTTCAGTTCATTTTCATTAGTTTCCCTCCTTCAAAGGCCCTAGGCACTGTGCCTAATGGGAAATCCGGCACTGAACAGCAGGTACATGCACAGGAGATATTGCATATTGGTTAATATTGTAGTCTCACAGTGCTGGGGCCCTGGATATAATCCAGATCTGGGGTGCTACAGTATCTGCGTGGAGTTTATATGTTTCCTCTATTTACATGGGTTTCCTCCCATAGTCCAAAGACATACTGCTAGGTTTATTTGGCTTCTGACAAAACTGACCCTGGTGTGACTGTGTGTGTGTTTGTGTCTGTGTGTGCACTGTAATGGACTGGCGTCCTGTCCAGGGGGTACTCTGCCTTGTGCCTGTTCATTGCTGAGTTAGGCTGTGGGTCCCTGATTCTAGCGACCTTGCACTGGGGGGGGGGAAGCTATGAAAATATCTATGGATATTGTTTGCCTCTTTGTACTGGAGCGCAGAGCCCAGACTACATTCTGTTGGTATCGTCTGTTGTCAAACCAGCACTTTACACAGTCAGATTTTACAAGTTAGTATCTTTAATTTAAAAGGAAAGTGTTGTTAGCAACAGCATGTAGCATAAATAACATATCCAGATCATTATGCTGCAATAAGTTATTTATAACAGATGTGATGGATTGGTATTATCGAAGCTGCCTCAGGTTAATTTGGTTATGTAGCTTACTCGATTTCCCAGGCACAGTATATTATTGAATGAAAAAGCCCAACTCTGGCGAGTATAAGTTATATTATACAAGATCAACTTTTGTGAATTTGTAGAGGCTGCAGGAGAATCACATTGTGAATTCTTTTAATTGGAACACATATAGCCTTTTTTTATATGAAAAGTGGGGACAGTTTCTTGTGCCTTAGTATAATTTTCATTGTCTTGCACCTTGTTCAAAGGTGACGTGCGGGAGTTATGTTGTACAAAGATAAGCAGTGTAACCAGTAACGGTGCATATGAGCTTAACTAGTGAGGGATAATACAAGTAGGCATTCTGCATTTACTTCATGTTTGCAAAAAAGGGTATACAATTTTGGCAAGAGACTTTCAGACTTGTCCTGGTTTTCTGCGAGCTAATGGCCTTTTGTGTACCAGTGAGGTGGGGTGCTTGTTCATTAGCTGATAATACAGATTGTGTTTGTCCTGCAAAGAGCCACACCAGGACTAGCCCAGGCTAACCAGTACGCCGCCTGGGAGACTTCATGACAAAGAAATCGAACGTGGTGTCCAGAGAAGGCAGGAAGCATCGTTTTCCTTTCCGCAGCGACTTTGCTCTCGGAATGCAGGGACAGTACGTCTTTCCTGTCGCGTGTGGTGCCACAGGGCTGGTTTCTGGGGCAGGGTGGGAGAAAGATGGATAAAGTGCTGCTCCCGGTGTCCCCAAAGTGAGCTCGCTCGCTTGAAACAACAGCACATCCTGGTATGAGAGGAAGGGCGCTTTCTTATTTTAATCCTCCAGAATGGAGCCCCACGCGGCAGCAACAAACCTATACACGCAGGATAGTGGTACTATAAAGGACAAGTAGTGGTTATTGGTAATTTCAATTGAAGGTGTTGACCTAATTTGCCCTTTAAAGTGCACTACAGGTCTAAGAGATGGAAAACACCCTTTTTATTCAAATATTTCCATCTGTTTGAAGATCTTTGATTTCAAATGGAAGTCTCCTTCTGCCACAAGACTGGGCAATAAAGAACAGGCAGTTCTGAACTTCCATTTTGAAAAGTTTGGTTTTGGAAACCGAATAGGCACGTATACTAATTTATATTTTGGTAATTGCAGCCTCCTATACTATTCATATCTTAGCTCACATGAGCTCATTTTGTCATATAAGTAGACTATATGTTGCAATAAAAGGAATATGTGTCATTCATGGATTAAAGAGACTTTAGAAGCAGACAACCATTTCATGGAATAAATGGCAGAAGTTATTTAAGACGGCGCTTCATGGCCATAAGTAGTTCCCGTGTATTTTTAACTAGCTTATGGGAGTTGCACATTTGCTGTGGCTGAGTTGTCGGAACCCGGGACACGCCTTTGTAAACTCCTGGTGTTAAATGGCAGTGTGCCGATCGCTGGCCCCACAGTGTGGTTTCCTCATTGCAGGGTGGAGCACATCTTGGGCAACCTGACCCTGCAGCTGCTGCTGGGGATCCCGCTGGAGCTGGTGCACAAGGGGATCGAAGTGGGAACCGTCTACCTGTCCGGAGTCCTTGCAGGTCAGGACCCCCTGCCCCGGGCTTGGAAACAAACAAAAAAAACAAGTCATGCGCAGAGCAACTCCCCCCGAGTGAGGATGACCGCACCAGACATTCCGCCTCTTGCGAGGCAGTTAAATACCGCTCCAATCACTTGACACACGATGAAGCCGGGAAGAAAGATAGCACCTCAAAAACAAATGCATAAAAAATGTCTAACTGTGGTAAAGCTCATTTTATTTTCATTCAAGACAGTGGAGTCTTGGTTTCTCTCCTCTTCTGAGTTTACAGTATCTAGAGTGACTCAAATTTGCAATAAAATCAGCAGAGGTATCGGGTTTGTAGCATTTTTATGACTCCATCATTATTAGACTGTGAAAAGTTCAACATATACTATGTTTTAAAATTATGCCAAAATTTAGCTGGGGGTGGGGGACTGGAGTGGGTTCACCGTGAAAGAAAGGCCTCGGTTAGTTGGTTGGAAGCAGTTTTTTTTACCACACTGGAGAAGGAGGAGGTGTGGCGACTTGGTCAGAGTAATGAGACACGAACAGCTGGCCGCAGTTCGAACTGGGATCCAGCTGTAACTACAGCACTGCTTCCTCTAACTGGATCTCTAGAGCAAACCCCCGAACCCCTGAAAAGTATTAGATTTCGCCTCAGTGGTTTGGTAATTTGCCCTGAGGCTTTGGGAGGTGGGTTAACTTCCTGCTCTCAGGTTGATCCTGAATTTCTCGTTTTTAAACTTTTCTCATTTTTGTGTGTATGTGTGAAGTGTTTTGTAGCGCGTGCCTCAGTGGATGTAAGTACTGGAAACCTGCAGCATCTGCAGATGGGTTTTCTGGTGATTTATCAAGTGTATGATCTCTGAAGCCAAATTTAATTTTCAGTGGTGGCTCTTTAATTAAACATCCACAGTTGAAGCAGAGCTGATCTTATGAATTAATCTGTTTCTTAGGAGAAAGCTCCCAAGAGCAGCAGAGTCAGCCCAGGAAAGTCTTTAAACCTGCCTTGGGTGTTTTTTCTCTAGTATGTTAAAGAATCCCTTTTTCTATGATGGCGTGTTTTGAAAGTGAGTCACAAAGTGATAATCATCTTCAGAAAGTGATCACAGGCTGGTACCCGTGACCCCCTGACCCTCTTTTTCTACACTGTACACAGAGGGACTAAGACTGTGCCTAAGACTGCTGACCATTCTCGCCCTGATTACTGTTTGTTTCTATATCCAAATTATATATTATATTGTCGTGTGAGGATTTCCGAAGTTTGGATTAGTGTAAATATGGGTGCCCTTTATATCATTATATCATGCACTGTTTGTGTCGTATTGAATCGGATTGTTATTGTTAACATCGGGGCAAATTTGTGTCCCTTGGCAAATAAACTTGGATATTGAATTCTCTTCCTCTCCCCCCCTTTCCTCAGGCTCACTGGCCAGCTCCATTTTCGACCCCCTGCACGCCCTGGTCGGTGCATCAGGAGGTGTGTACGCACTCATCGGGGGGTATTTCATGAACGCCCTGGTGGTAAGTGTATTTCTGAACGTCCAGGTGCAGTACTGGAAGAAAGAGACTACTCCCGCCAAGACGCGCTCGGTCTTGTGCCCTCTGGTCCTGGTATTGACAGGTCCAGATGTGATGTCCAGTCCAGGCTATCACACTGTCCAGCTGTGGAGCAAATCCTGCCCCCTTGATGGTGCACATTTGGGTTGGGCGAGCTTAAAATGGATCCAGGATTTGACACATAGCACCGATCCATGAGCCTTGATGAAAGCCCCTGTGTGAGTTTTTTTCTCCCGTGTGGCGTTAGTCTGCAAATTGACAAAAGGCTCTGATAGGTCAGCCTGATCCTTATGCTCCTGAAGTGTCTCATAAAATAATTTAAGATTACCGAATGACTGTTTTTCCCAGCCTGCAATTTTTCTGTTCACATTAGACTATAGAAAAAGTTAGTTCAAGTGGGTGTCAGCTTGCGTAGGCTGCAAAGGAACAAGTAAAGGTTTATTCCATGCTGAAAAGAGAAGCAAACGGACACAACGTTTTGGCTGTGGAGCCTTGCCACCAAAAGACGGGGCACAGGGCACAAGGAGACACTGCAGTCCCCCCTACACACACAGTAACAAGTTAGAGACATCACTTAAGCTAACAAGCGTGTCTTTAATCAATGAGGTGTGAGGCAGCCGGCCCATGTGAAAATGGGGAGAACATGCGGACTCCACACAGAGGGTGCCCAATGGCATAATCTTAATGGTTAATCTTTATAATAATATTTTCTGGGAAATGCACAGCTGTGCAGTTGAGGTTTAGGAAGAAAAAACAATACACTAATGAAAATGAGCCAATTAATATACTGTATGAGGAAGGTTTTACATGTCTGTTTATCTTGTATGTTCTTGTGTAAAGAATGTGACTGTATATCGCAAGGACTGCTTTGTGAGCTTAAACTTTGTCTGCTTCAATTCCTCAACAAACCCATTAATGCATGCATTCCCCCAGAAGCATTGCTTTGATTGTATGATAATGCGCAATTTGTCAAACGGTCATGTAAGATCACAGGATGAGTTTCTTCTCCATCATCCTGTTGTCCGCGCACTTATTTTTAAAATTATATTAGCACAGATTCATGAATCAGTGTACATCTATAATGAGAGGTTTAACTACTGTTTGCAGTGTATTGATTTTTGTTTGACGTTGTTTGGCTGGGGTGTAACGTGAGCTAAGGTTAGGCAGGATCTTGAGCTGCTGAAATCTCATGAGACTGGAGTGCAGCGACACTGCTGGTTCATATGGCTTTATGATTGTTTTTAAGCAATAAACAGCGAACACCCATGTCTTTTAATCTGCACAGTGTGAACACAGCAGTTGTCTTAAGAGCAATGTGCATTATATGTGTGGACTACCTCACTTAGGACCAGAATGTAAGAAGTGTCAATGAAAATGAATTCTTTGCTTTGATTCTGGCCTTTCTTACGTTCTTTCTAATAAATGTGAATCTTTTCTCTCTTTCTGCTTCAGAATTTCAAAGAGATGATTCCATTACTGGGTGCATTCCGAATAGTAGCAATTTTACTGATAGGTAAGCTTACATTATTTCTTTCTTTATATAGAGCAACAATCTCTGTTTTCCATTCAGCTTTTACTAGGACTGCTGTTTTGAATTTGCCAATAAATCCCTGCAGTGTTTGTAATTATCCGTGAGCTGGAAGAATTCTTGTGAAAAAGGAATAATTCCCACAGGGAAAAATTAGTTTACACTTAATTCATTTATTATTCAAATTGGTTGCCAGTTAATATCCATAAACATTAATTCTTCTATTCTTAAGATGGAAACATTGAACTAATGAGAAGCCATTTATTTTTTATTTTGATGCATTATTATAAAGGTATCCTTCACACAAGTAGAATAGGTCATGAGGTTTTCTCAGAATTGCACAGTTCTAATGCTGCCCAGTGTATACTCTTGGGCCATCGGTTTCAACCAGTGTCTTAGGCATGCCTCCCCGAGATGCAGACCATACAAACGCTAGATCTGGTGTGGCATATGGCCGAGGCTCTGAGGAAGGGGGTTGAGTGATTTTACTATAATATGGTCCTTGTGAGCCCTGTTGCACTCTCACCCTCTGTAGAACACAGAAATCCTCGCGGTGCTCGATCTCGGCATGGCACCACTGTAGTCCCTTGCTTCCAGGCTCCCTCTCCAGGTGTGCTATAAGACTGGGGGGCTCACTCTCAGTCCCTCCATAAAGGAACTTGCTCGGAGTCCAGGCTGAGCTCCATGGTGCACGCCTGGGAGGTGTCACTAGGCGAGCACTGTCAGGGGTTCGGTCAGGGAGCTCGGAGCAGAAATGGAGACCCCTTCGACTTCCCAGCTGCCTGCCAGCTCTCCTGTAAGGTGCTGTGGGGATCGCTGGATGAGAGACTCCCATGGGGGGGAGGGGGTAGCTCAGTCCCCCAAAAAATGAAAGAAATACTGGTCTCCCAACACGGGGTGCTTGAATGCACTTGATAATGCAGCAGTCCGGTTTTAGTTTGCCTTCCAGGGGATTCTCATGAAGTCTGTGTTGATTTGGGAAGATTCTCGTCCTGATAACCATCATCTGCAGAACGTAAACCCTTTGGCAGCAAATAGTTTTTTTTTCTCCTGGTCTCAGACCATTACACGTTTGCATGATTTTGCTTCCACGGCATGTACTGTGCAGCTGAATTGTCAGCTTTATAATATAATGAATACCATATTATCTCCTTAAAATTGTGAATTCTCTGTCTGACACTACAAGCAGAAATTGACCAGTCAGCCTTATGATCTAGAAGGAGTAAAGGCGAATGTGTTGTTGTAAATGTTCAGCTAGAATTACTGATCCTGTGGTACATAGAAATAATTGTGCTAACCTGAAGCAGTGAAACCAGCCTGTCTGAACACTGGGTTCTAGGAGAAAGGGTTTTACTTGTTGGCTCATGTTCTTGTAGTCGCAATCCATACTCATAAGTACGTTTTATCTGATAATCCACAGTTGTCAATGCAAATGTCAAATGGAGGACAATCGTTTTTTTTCTGGTGTTTGATGATACATTTTCATTTCCAGTTGGGACAGACGTTGGATTTGCTCTTTACAGAAGGTTTATAAGTCACGAAGTCGGTCATGCAGTAAGTACACTCTTCTCTCACTGTTTTTTTGCTGCATTTAACTAGCAGCAAATTTAGTGTCATTTGAATAATCAAATTCTAGATAATGTACCATGAAGTAAAGGCATGAAAAAACTGATAATAAACAAATTAATGTTAAATGACACATCTATGTAATATATACTGGTATGTATGTCTTTCAAAGGAGATAGGAGTTCCAGCAGACGGGTAGATGTTTCCTAAACTGTTCTCGGCTTTGAGCAGTTTCACTAAAAGGTTCATGGCGTGCAGTGTCTGTGCCTTGTGAGCTCAGGTGGTTAGAATGACAGCCGTTACAAGAGCTCACTGAGAGAGAACCTTCTTCAGTCTGTCCCAGACTCCCCAGAGAAAGCTGTGAAGCTCAGTGCAGTCGTGCCGAAAGGATGTGGTTAAAGAGTCATGCAGGAATTGTTAATTCACTGCAGGTCTTGTGCTTGTTTGCTGGCGGCATGAATTCTGGAGGAGCATGTTTGTACGTGAAGCAACAAAACTCCACATAAATGCCTCCTAATTACTTTTAACCACAGCAACTTGGCTGGCTAGGTAGTTAGATCCTGCGTAATTGTTCAGTGTGTGAAATGCATGTCTGATCCTCCTACTGCATGGCAGAAACTAAGTAGGCCTTTGGGGATTTTGGTGTCTTATCTGTCTCTGGAAACTTTGCTGTATTCACGTTTTGGCAGTGGGGTTGCCTGTGAGGGATCTACTTTTTTCTCCCCTCTCTTGAGATAAAATGTAAATTGTCCATTCCTTCTCCCTCGCAATCTCTCAGGCTATCGCGCTGCATTGCGGAAAAGTGTATTTAAGTAACCGCCTAACTCTCAAACCATGCAAAGAGAAGCTTCCCTTTTCTGTCGCTCAGGGGAATGGAGAAATGTGTAGGAATAAAAACAGACTCATTGAACTTAAGGGTCTGGGCTCAAGCTTGTAGTTTATTTTAAATTTCAGTGCAGCACTTCAGAAACTCTTCTGCATTTGTTTTTTCACTCGACTTGGATCTTTAAACCTCTGCAGTTCTTAAATTCAGTCCAGCTTGGCTGGAAAATGACTTTAGTGACTAATTGCACCTGACATCAATAAAAAGTAACTGAAAAAAGACAAAACAGTGAAAACCACATGTGCGCACGGTTACTGAAGTTTAAAGGAAATGCCTGAAGAGTACCTGAATAGAGGATAAAGTCCCCTTTATTTTTACTAGGAAGCTGTATGGAGTGCAAGAGCCTATAAAGTACTTTTTAGGCTGGATGAATGGAAGTCAGTCATTAATTTTCACACTGTCGTCTTTCAGGTCTCCTTTGTGGCTCATATAGCTGGGGGAATGGCAGGCATGACTGTGGGATTCGTGTTCTTCAGCAACTACAACCAGAAACTCCTCAAGGACCCCAAGTTCTGGGTGTGCATTGTGGGATACTTCGCCTTCATCCTCTTTGCCGTGCTGTTCAACATTTTCTTATCCCCAGCCTGACGGGAGGCGGGGGGCGAGCTGGTGTTTCGTTCAAAAGTGGACTCGGGACAATCTTTTAAATTCTGATCGTTGAATCCCCCTACGGCCACTCGAATACGGCCGAGCGGACTGCTCGATGATGGATCGAGATCTGCGTTTTTCTGACCGGAAATTTAAGCACCACAACTTGACCTGTGATCTAAAAGGGAATAAAAAATTTAATTTTTTTTTACAGTACACAGTTTGGCTCAGTTTTTTTTTTCTCTTGCAAGAATAATGGGCCGTTTCGGCCATGAGGTGTTGTTTGCGATTCTAGTTTTTAATGTTTTTTTTTTCCAAAAATGTAATCTTTCAACCTCTCCAGACATTTTGCGTTATGGATTAGTATAGATTGTCTTTGCAACCAGATAGAAACTTGCATTTCCCGAGAACCTCTGTAGACTTCTTGACCCACAGGCTACAGAACACTATTCCAGTATTCCACACTGATTCCATGATTCCATCGCTTAACACTGTTAGAATTACCATTTAGAATCGTGTTTTTCCTTGTGCCCATACGAAGGAGTAATTTCTTAATTAAATTTGGATTCTTTTTCAAGGTCTCTAAGGAGCTTAAGCCCTCAGCCTCTTCCTAGTATCCAAGGTGGTGATGAAATGGGGTTGTAATTTAATTCTCATGGTGAGCGCGACCTTGAAGTCTAATGTAATGTCTCCTTTCTGTACACAACAGCTGGGTGTGCTAATAAATGTCAGCCCCAGATGTGCAGAGCTGATTTATTCACACTGAGCGAGTGTTTGCTTCCAAACCAACTTGCAGTTCTTGCAGAAAGTTCAATTTGAACATAAAGAAAACGAAAGGGCTAATAGTGGACTTTCGGAGACACGGGCCATACACTCACAGCCCACTCAGTATTGATGGAACGGAAGTGGAAACAGTCACCAGCTTTAGGTTTTTGGGAATTCACATCTCTAAAGATCTAACCTGGACTGTGAATACTGACTCTATCATGAAGAAGGCTCAGCAGCACCTTTATTTCTTGAGGTGCCTCAAGCGATGGGGGATGCCAATACATGTGTTGGTGAACTTCTACCGCTGCACCATCGAGAGCGT